GTGTCTTCCCATTTTCCTCTCCTCTTCCCAAGGAAGTAGACAGAACTCATTCTTATTGTATTGGCTTAGAGTATACATATGAGCATATAATACACTGAAGAAAAGTACACTCTAAAAAGGTATGGTTGCATGTTGTGATAAGGTACGAAATGATGACACAGACACTGCTGCTCTCGAGGGGAACAAAAAAAAAGAAGAAAAAGAAGAACCTTTATTTTCTGACTCCAACATTTATAGTTTTCTAAAGGTGACAGTGGATTGGAGGGTGACAGTGCCACCTCTCCAATGCCACTGGACAGACCAAGGGTCCATCAATTCTCTCCACCTCCATGAAAGAATGCAAAACATAGGTTATTTACAGAACTGTGTGTGAGAAAGTTTGTTGAAAGAATGTAAACATCAGAAAGCTTAACAAAGTCTTACAAAATCAGGGCGACAGTTGCAGACTTATTTCTCTGGAAAGTTTGGACATTCACAGGAGAAAAAAGAAAATCCTGTAACTCTAAAACTAGCTTGCAGCAGATCAGTGGAAGGGTGGGATTCCTTGTAAAGACATCTGTTCACTCTTCCAGTCAGAGACGTCTACTTGATATTATAATTCCTGCTTGTAAAACTCAGAGCTGCACATCCATACAATTGCTGAAAAAGAATCTAAATAGCTTTAGCATCTCAGAAGACTCCATATAAAGTGGATGCAGATTGTGGTTCATAAGTCAGAAAAAACAACTGGGCCCACTACAGCATGAAGACTAGCCCCATGTTTTTTGAAGAATTTTTAAAGTAGGCCTTTAGTATATCTAGGTCTTGCTGGATGACTTAAATCAGAACAACCCAAATCTTTAGCTCGGTATTTGTATTAAAAGAAATTTAATAATTTCAGTCAAAAAATAAAACGATAAATCAAGTTCAAAACAGAGATGCTCAAAATTTCACTCCAACCAGGAAACTTTATGCATGTCACAGACAAACAGCCAGGGAAGGAAAGAAAAATTAGTGAACCAACTGTTCTCATGTACTGTGTGTATCACTGCTGATTTGTGAGAAGCTTAAATTGATTTAAAGTTCAAGCTGCTGTTCCAAGCGGCTCAAGCCCCACTCCTGCTCTTGCACTCCTGCTGCCCTGTTTATGCTTGGCACAGTCAGCAAGCAGAGCAAATGGAAGGTTAACCCCACAAACGAGTACACATTCGAAAGGCTCCTGTATGCCAAGCAGAAGAGAGGGATTTAGCAAGCAACCTGTTCTGGCAAAAAGGTTTGGTGCTATAATAACTAAGTAAGACACGAAACAGTACAGACAATTACCACAAACCTACACTGTAGAGCTGATCTAGTTTGTACAAGCTAAGAATAGTATCATTCTTGGATTCATAATGAGCAGCCACTCAGAGCAAGATATAACAAGCTTAAAGGAGTAAGTGTTCCTCAGTCTCCTCCACTGCAACCCTGAATGTGCACGCTGAAGTCATGCACTTAAGAAATAGGGCAAAGGATGCTACAGAAATGTTAACTTTTATTTCTGCTTTCTTCTTTCCACTAAATTGCACTTCAAGTACTGCTGGCTGTCAGCTGAAAAAGTTCTCTTCGTATCTATTCGACCAGGATGCAATATTTTAAAAGGCAGCTCCTATTCTAGTCCTTCCCCCTTGAATGACTTTACTACTCTGAATAAATGGAGCTCCTTATCTCCCCTTCCATCTTGTCAAACCTACAGTCCTCCTCTGTACATGTTAGCTTTCCTCTATCACTAAACTGCAGAGACCTATAGCACAAGTTATATCTTGAATAAGATCACAGAAGGTTGGAAAAGACCCTCAACACCATCTAGTCCAACAGTCAACCTATACCACCCCCAAGCCATATTCTCAAGTGCCACATCCAGACATCTCTTAGACGCTTCCAGAGACCATGACTCCACCAACCGTGGGCAACTTATTCCAATGCCTGGCCACTCTTTCAGTGAAAAGTTCTTTTCTAATGTCCAACTGTACCTTGCCTGGTGCAACTTGGGGCCATTTGCTCTCATCCTTTCACTTAAGACATGGCAGAAGAGATCAACCCCCACCCCACTACAACCTCCACTCAGGTAGTTGCAGAGAGCAATGAGATCTCCTCAGCCTCCTTTTCTCCAGGCTAAACCCCAGTTTCCTCAGCTGCTTCTCCCAGTACATATTCTCCAGACCCTTCACTAGTTCAATTGTGCTTCTCTGGACACATGCCAGCACCTCAGTGTCCTTCTTGTAGTGAGGGGCTGAAACTGGACACAGCACTTCAGGTGTGGCCTCACCACTGCCAAATACAGGGGGACAATCACTGTCCTGGTCCTGCTGGCCACACTATTGCTGATACAGGCCAGGATGCCATTGGTCTTCTTGGCCACCTGGACACACCCACACTGGATCATGTTCAGCTGCTGTTGACCAGCCCCCCCAGGTCCTTTTCTGCGGTGCAGCTTTCCAGCCTGTAATACTGTCTGGGGTTGTTGTGATCCATGAGCAGGATATGACACCTCACCTTGTTGAACCTTGCACAACTGGTCTCAGCCCATCGACCCAGCCTTTTCCTCATCCACTAAATGGGTCATGTTGTCAGGGAAGGAGATCCGGTTGGTTAAGCAGGACCTGCCTTTTGTAAAACCATTGTCTGGGCCTGACCCTTGGTTTGTTCTGCACATGTTGCATGATGGCACTAGGATGATCTGCTCCATGACCCTCCCTGGTACCAAGGTCAGGTTGACAGGCCTTGTTCCCTGGACAATCCTTCCAACTCTTCTTGTAGGTGGGTGCTTCATTTGCCAATCTCCATTCAACTGGAACTTCTCCAGTTAACCAGGACAGCTGCTAAAGGACTGAAAGTGGTTTGGCAAGTTCTTTCACCCTCATTACTTTTATGTGCATCCCTTTGGGCTAATAGACTTATGGGTGTCTCATTAGCATAGCAGGTCTCTAACTATTTCCTTCTGGATTATGGGGGTTTCACTCAGCTCTCTGTCACTAAGTTTCAGCTCAAGGAACTGGGTATCCTGAGGACAACTGGTTTTGGCATTAAAGACTAAGGCAAAGAAGGCATTAAGTAACACGGCCTTTTTCTCATTTCCCTGACACTATGCTACCCTCTACATTCAGCTAAGGGTGAAGACTCTGCTCAGCCCTCCTTTTGCTGCCAATGTATTTATAGAATTTTTTTCTGTTGTCTTAACTGCAGAGGCCAACCTTCTTAGAAACTGTAAATTAAAAAAGGCAGAAGTCAAGCCCAGTTCCCACATTCTCTGCATCACTTTATATTCTGTCACTTATATGTCTTCCTCTATTTCATATTGTTCCTAACCTCCACTGCCTGAGAATATCAGCAGATTGCTCACACTTCAGTACTGTTTCCTAGTTTGCACAGCTTCCATTCAAATAGATACAGGCCAGAGCCCCTTAATATATTGTATCTCCTTAATATATGATATCTTATTGTGCAAGACCAATAGGTTCTTCTCTTTAAGGCCACAGAAAGAGAGACATGATGCATCAGTAGACACCAAGAGAAGAGTGGAAGAAAGTAGCATGAAAAAAATGTTCTTCCTCGAAACACAAAATCTGCCTGTACTTGTAATACAAAGACTTCCCAAACAAGAGGTGGCATATTAATCTTTAACAGCACTTAGTGGATTATACATCCACAAACTTGTCTGATTGCTGTCTGAGAATGTTTGAAGTTTCAGAATCAATGTTTTGCGGCAAGGAGATTCACAGTTTAAGCGTATGTTGTATGAAGCAACATACTTGTTAGCACCTCCTGCTAGTTCCTATGGAAGATCTTATCTTACTCACCCCTAAGTCCTACCATGCCTGCTTAGCTTGAAATTTTTGGTGCTGGAAGTTGTTGAATTACCAGGAAAATCGTATCAAGAAGTATTTCTTGCCTAAATCATTACTGAGCCCATAAAAAAAAAAGTTAAAACAATCCCACCACCATCCCCCAATCTTCTCACCTAGCTGCAAAAAAAACCAAAAAAAACCCACAAGAAAAGGAATTTTTTACTGTGTTTAGTAAAAAGCCAGTAAAACCAGTTTAGCTATTGGATATGCCTCACCTCCCCAAGACTCAAGGTCTTCCATGTTGCTCAATGTTCACAAAATTTTAAGAAACAAGACTTGAGAAGGCAGGAAATTTTCATGAAGCTGGATTTACATCTCCCACATTTAAGGAAGAAGAGATTCTTTAAGACAACATTTGAAAGATTAGGAAAGCTCCTTTCCATACAGTAATCAACAGCAGAAACCAGGAAAGGTTAGAGAAAGATCCAGCAGAGGAAGATAAATCTCTTTCATGTCCATTTACAGGAGCCTTAAATTTTCAGCTCTAGGGCAACTTTTAGGAAAGGAGTTTCATGAAACCAGCCCTTTTATTCTACTCTTCAATTCTACCATGCTCTGTGGAATCAAGGAGATGAGGTAAAAAAGGAACTTGCTTGTGTCTCAACAGAAAGAGGCTTTCTCTATTCATCTCTATCATGCTACACCCACTCAGAATGACATGTCCCATCAGTTCTCACCTTGCTGGGCTCAGCTACACAGAAGCCAACACTATACAGATACACAGTACCTGCAAGGTAATGTCTCTCAGCAGATCCCAAGACCAATGAATGTTATTTCAGTGCTTGCCTTTCCCTCCCTTCACAGGGCAGCAAGGACAGAAACTAGAATGTTCCTTAAGAGGGCAGACACCCTCAATATGCCTCTTCACACTGTTTATTTTCCATTAATATTTACAGCAAAATATATATATATTTTATAATATAATTTAACTCAGTGCTTTTGCAAGTTGGGGTTTCACTGTGTTTTATATCAGTGGACAATGGCTTTGTTTGACTCCAGTCAGTCAAAAGTACAAGTCATCTACAATCAAAAACTTTTGTCACACAAATGGCAGGATCTGCCTGTAAAACAGGGCAGCACCTGCAGAGAAAAAGATATTCAATTTTCCCAAACACAAGTCAAGGATGGTATTCTTACTGCAGCCATCTTCATCACTGTGGTCCCCACAGTCATTGTCTCCATCGCATTGCCACTGAGCAGGGATGCACGTGCATTCACCAAAAGCACTGACAGCACAGGTGAAATGATTACGCCCACAGGAGCACTCAGTGCTACTTGTAATACCTGTAAAGGAAGAAAAAAAAGAAAGATGTTTTGAAGAGATCCCATCTATTTTAGAGTAAACATTAAATACAAAGTGACATCAATTTTTCTCTGTGTACACACAGAGTGTGTACACACAACTGTGTAAGAACACATCCTTGCCTGCCAAGGAAAATATTCACCCTCCTCACATGCTGAAATTGGAGATCAATTACTATGCACAGTTTCTTGGAAAGGGGGTCTTTGAAGGCAAAAGCAAAGTGCAATCTGCCAAAAAGAGACTTGGGAATCAGCTGAAAAACAACTCAGCGCTAATCACAAACATTCAAGGAATGCCAGGTATCAGAACATCCCTTTTATTTTACAAAATCAGTCCTCTGCTAGACCACAGTGCTGCTGCTGCTCTTCACTTAGTTCTGACACTACAATACAAGGGAAAACTCTCTGAAGTAGAATCCTTGCTGTTTGAAGTCTTCTCCAAACCCTAAACTTTTTAGATGCAAACCTTTTGCATGTCACTATTTTAGACATTTCAGTTTCCAGTGAAAGTGGAAAAATATATTTTATTATTTACCTGTAAATATTAAACTGTTACACTAGGCTGTGCATAACTGACATTTATGACAGCAAGAGGATTTTCAGCTTTACAAACTGAAAATGCAGTCCACCTTATAAGAATATTTTTTCCAGCCTTAAAGTTAGCCCAAAGATCTCCCAGCCCTCCTTTCCCACATTCAAAACAATACTCTAACACAACCCGTGACTTTCACCCCTGAGCAAATTCAACTATTTAGGATATTATCCCACACTTTCTCTTAAAAAAAAAATCTCTGCCTTGAGAAAGGACAGGTTGTAACACCCCCCACCCCAAAAGGAAAAGGTCATGCCTGAAGTTCTGTCTGACATTATGCAGACAATCTATGTAATCAGTATCACTGTTAAACAAATGATTATCAATAATCAACTTCCTCAACCCAGTCTGGTTGGATTTTTTTGCATGGTTCCTTCTTTCTGCAACTCAAACAAACCTAAAGCTCTTAAATTAAACAACAGATCATAAGGAAAGAATTATGAAGAAATACCTGCCCCAAGTGGTAATCACATACTGAACTATTTTCAGGCTTTTTGATTTCACTGATCTCACTCATGCATTTAGTGTACCTGTGATTAACCATAGTCAATTGCTGTATCAATTAAGCAAAAAGAAATAACAAGCCTCATAATTTCCATTCTAATGGAGAAGAGCAATATCTGCAAAATGGATGTAACACTTCTGCAACTCTTTGAACAGCAGCATTCCATCCAGTGAAGACATTCACTTGTGCCAGTAAAGCAAAGATTTCATTTCAGAGAGAATGCACTTCCTTGAAAAAGGATTACATTATGTTTCTTCTGCATAAAACTGGCTGAAGAGATTTCTGCCAGCCTCAACTGCCTGCTTGCAAATGTTACACTGCAGGTTGCAAGGCCTTAACTGCAAACTATTTTCCAAGCTGAACTGCACCCAACAAATGGTTGTGGGATTTATGTTCAGTCTGTCATGGGCATGAAAACCTTTTACTCTTTCACTCATGTCCATGACAAGTTACCTTTGAAAGGTTTAGTACAAAACATACATCTCAAGGTATTACTGCATACAACAGAAAAGCAGCCATCATCGGGTGTAACGAGGGACAAAGGCTAAAAGAACAGGAGGTGAAAAAGGAATGCAAGAGGCCAGAGCAGTCACATCTTCAGAGGACTTACCAGGTATGGCCAGGACAACGGCTGGCTCAAAAGGACAGCAAGTGGGTGATGTAGCCAGAGGGCAAGAAAGCAACAGATATTCCTAAGGAAAAGCAATTCATCATCTATGCAACATTTCAGACTAGCAGAAATAAACTAATGGAAATTCCAAAGAACCAGAACCACCCACAAAAATCAAACAGGTTAAAAAGCAATGGATATTACTAAGGAAAAGCAATTCGTCATCTATGCAACATTTCAGACTAGCAGAAATAAACTAATGGAAATTCCGAAGAACCAGAACCACCCACAAAAATCAAACAGGTTTCTTCAAACCAACAACACAGAAAACTCAGAACAAATCATCTGCTGTTGTAGGTGCTACAACCTTTTAAAAAGGCAGAACTAGTTGTACATTGTAACCAAAGTAGCTGCTCTTTAAACTACCTTTTCCAAAGCAATTTTCTACCATTATCCTCAAAAGCACCCCAAAACACTCATCCCAGCTACCTTAAACTCCCCTTCCTGTTGGAGTACACAAGACCACTATCATTTAGGTTGGAAAAGATCTCTAAGGTCACAAAGTCCAACATTGCCAGATCCACCATTAAAATGCATCTCCAAGGGACACATCCACATGCCTTTAAATACCTCCAGGAATGAAGACTCTACCATTCCTTGGGTAGTCTGTCCTCCACTGCTGACAACCCTTTTGGTGAAGAAATTTTCCCTAATATCCAATCTAAACCTCCTCAGACACAACTTGAAACCATTTCTGCTCATCCTGTCACTTTGTACCTGGTAGAAAAGACACCTACCTCCCTACAACCTCCTTTCAGGCAGTTGTGGAGAATGACAGGGTCTCCCTGAGCTTCCTCCTCTCCAGGCTAAACAACCCTAGCTCCTTCAGCCCCTCCTCTGAAGACTTGTTCTTTAATCCTTTCACCAGCTTTTCTGGCCTTCCCCGTGAGCAGCATGGCAGTACAGCTCTGCAACAGCAAGGAAAGAATTAGTGCAGCTGTCCCAGTCTGCAAACTGTAACTTAATCTGCTCTATTGTCAAACGCACAGCGCTCTTCAAAGTTGCTACTAATATTAGGTTACATATAAGCACACACACACTAAATCTGTTCTTCTCACCTCATTAAAGTTGCTATGTTCCATCATCTCTGCTCTGTGATTTTATCATGCTACTGAAACTGTTGGAAGCTGAAGGACACGCTATGACCCAGATACCACCACTCTCTCATATGCACTAGCTGGTGTCTGTAGGGCCATTATGTAAGCATACTTTGCACAACTATTTCAAATTACAACCAGTGCAGATCTAATGGTTTGTGATTTGTGACCCTTAGGAGAAATAGCCTTCTAGTCATTTATAAGTCATGATCTACCCTGGTTTTGCACTTGTCAAGCAATGCACATGATTGCTGGGAAAGTACACTGATTTCAACCTAGAACAGTTTCAGAAGCAAATCCTGGATGGCTAGTCTTTCCCAGCCAAAAGAACAAGGTGAATGAAAGCTGGCACACCTGAAGGTAGCAGGAATTTTCTCAATTATTTTACTGTGGATAGTATTTCACCTTTGGCATTTCATTAATATTTCCCAGTGCTCAGAGTTCCAGTCACACTATCCTGTAACTGTATCTGTAACAGTAGAGGGTCAGGAAGGATCAAGATGAGAAGCATGTTTTTTTCCAACTCCAAGCGGAAATGGTGCACTTGGTGCGAGAAGCCTTCGCAGGAGATCTACTGTCTTACCTCAAGCTCTCGTTAAACACTGGGAGAGTGAGATAGAAGGCTGACCAAACACACATAAAGCTCCAGCGTCACATTTAAATCCCAGTTAGTCAGTGGGCCAGGAACAGGATGGAAATCAGTGCTTGCTGTTAAGGCAACTGGACCAACAATCAAAGGGGACATATCTAATTGCACTTCTACACATTTTTCTGGAGCAGGAACTACAAGAGGGACCTCTGGGCTTAGTAACGACAAATATTTTCCTGAAACTTTACATTACATTGCAGGCTTGGACATTTTACTAGCTCTGTATTCAAAAATATTTTCACTTATGTAGGAGGAAAAACCCTGACATATTTTAGCAACGGAGTATATACAAAATGACACAAAAAAGCTAAACAGAGATACTGCCACATGCTGAGCTGATATCACTCCATTTTCATGGCCTCTCCTGATCCCTCATGTAACTACAAAAAAACTTCCTACTCTCACTTGCCCATGGGTACAAACAACTAAATTATCTTCGCTGTCCGTAGTTTGGTTCCCTCCAGATGTATACCAGCAGGATCCAGTAACCAAACAGTTTTCTAGCAAAGTATACAAACAACCTCCAGATTTTAAAAACAGGAAGTCAGTCTAAACACAGTCTCATACTTAACATCTGCCATCACCTTAAAATTAGCATAGTATGCTCAGTTTCTTCAGATTGCTTCCAAATACCCTCCAAAACTTCATATATATCTGATAAATTAAATGCCTCATAAGGAAGGGTGAGTTGCCACCACCTCTCTTGAAACAATAGTTAGCCTCTATGTAGTTTTATGTCTAAAGTTGGCAAAGCAATTCTGTCATTTCTGGCTGAAAAGCAGAAGTCAATTATCATCCTGTTATTTCTGTCCTTTTTTGGGTTTTTTTCGGGGGTGGGGGGAAGACAAGCAAGGGCAGAGCTGCTTAAACAGTAGGTTGTTACTCTGCTTTCCTCACCTCCCAGTAACTCTTCATCAGGCCAAACAATATGGCCCCATAAAGCAAAACCTAACAATATACACAACTTCATTTTTCTGATAAAGTCACTTGCAACCCTCAGAGTATTACAGAGTATCCCTTTATTTGCCATAGATTCATAAAAATATTGACATTACAAAGAAAACTTAAGTAGACAGGATAATTACCAAACTGGGCTCCATAGCTGTTGCTTTGACAGAAACAGTAAATTTCTAGTGGAGAGTGAACACACTGTTTTGTTTAAATCCTAATGGCATGCTTTATTCCAAAAAGAAAGATTCTAACCCATTCCCTCTTCCATGAAAATAATGACACATGGCAGCTCTTAACACTACTTTGCAGCAATTCAACCTTTGACAGGCTGTTGATACAACATGGAATCATGCAACAGCCCAATTTGGAAGGGACCTCAAAAGATCACCTGGTTCAACCTTTTGTGGAGAATGAAGCCTGGATAAGACTATCCAGCACCCTGCACAGTTGCATCTTGAGAACCTCCAGTGATGTCAGGGACTCTGTCATGTTTCTGGGGAGGTAGAGGGGAGGCAGCA